GAAAACCCTAAAGACTCCACTAAAAAATGATTAGAATAAATGAATTCAGTACTGTTGCAGGAAACAAAATTAATATACAGAAATCTTTTGCAATTCTATACACTAATAACTATCAGAAAGAGAAATTATGAAAACAATATCATTTACAGTTGCATCAAGAATAAAATACCTAGGAATAACTTTAATTGAGGAAATGAAAAACCTGTACACTGAGAATGGTAAAACACCGATGAAAGAAATTGAAGCCAATACAAATAAATGGAAAGACATACCATGGACTGGAACAAATAACATTGTTAAAATGTCCATACATCCAAATCTGACCGACAGTCTGCAGATTCAGTGGAATCTCTATGAAAATACTTATGCCATTTTTCACAAAACTAGAACAGGTAATCCTAAAATTTGTATGCAACTACAAAGACCCTGCATAGCCAAAGCAATCTTCAGAAAGAACAAAGCCCTGATCTCCAACTATACTACAAAGCTATCATAATGAAAATGCAATGGCAGTGGCACAAAAACAAATGCATTAATTAATGGTACAGAAGAGAAAATCCAGAAATAAACCCATGCTTAGATGTTCAATTAATGTTCAACAAAGGAAACAAGAACATACAATGGGGAAAAGACAATCTCCTCAATAAACGATGTTGGGAAAACTGGACCATTTTTTTTATATCATATACAAAATAAACTCAAAATGGAGTAAAGACTTAAATGTAAGGCCTGAAACCACGAAACTCCTAGAAGAAAACATAGGTAATAGGTTCTTGGACATTGATCTTAACATTATTTTTTTTTTGGATCTGTGTCCTCAGGCAAAGGCAACAAAAGCAAAGGCAAAACAAACAAAAAAATCAAATGGGACTACATAAAACTAAAAAACTTTTGCACACTGAAGAAAACCATCAACAAAAAGGTAACCTACTGAATGGGAAAAGAGATATGCAAATTACATAGCTGATAAGGGATTAATATCCAAAATATATAAAGAACTCACAATTCAATATCATAAAAACAAATCAATTAAAAAATAGGCAAAGAATCTGAAGACATTTCTCCAAAGACGACATACAGATGGCCAACAGACACATGAAAAGATGCTCAACATCACTAATCATCAGGGAAATGTAAATCAAGACCACCATGAGACATCACCTCACATCTGTCAGAATGGCTAGGATAAAAAAGACAAGTAACATATGTTGGTGAAGATATGGAGAAAAGGGAACCTTTGTGTACTATTGATAGGAATGTAATTTGCTGCAGTCAACATGGAAAACAGTATGGAGGTTCCTCAAAAAATTAAAACTAAAACTAAAACATATGATCCAGCAATTCTACTTCTGGGTATTTATCCACAGAAAAAATTTATTTGAAAAGAATATGCACTCTTACATTCATTGCAATATTATTTTTAACAGCCAAGATAGGGAAGCAACCTAAATGTCCATCAGTAGACGAATGGATTAAGAGGAGGTAATATCTACATACAATGGAATATTACCCAGCCATGAAAAAGAATGAAACTTACCCATTTGCAAAAACATGGATGGACCTAGAAGGTATAATGCTAAGTGAAATAGGACAGAGAAAGACCAATGATGTATGATTTCACTTATATGTGGAAACTAAAAAAAAGCAAACAAAACAGAAACAGACTCAAAGACACAGGGAATAATATGGTGGTTGTCAGAGGGGAGAGGGTGGGGTAAAGGATGATAGATGGGAAGGGGATTAAAAGGTACAAACTTCTAGTTATAAAATAAGACACAGTGGTGCAATGTACAGCACAGGAAATGTAGTTACTAATACATAACAACTTTGTATGGTGATAGATACAATGATCACTTCATAATGTATATAACAATACACAATGATCACTTCATAATGTATATAACTATTCAATCACTTTGTTAAATACCTGAAACTAATAGAATATTGTATGTCAGCTACACTTCAATTAAAAAAATAACAAAAACAGAGCATTACTTCTTTTTGTCCTGAAATAAACTCATTAAGGAATTAAAAAAAAAAAAAATCAAAGACCAAACTTTTACTTCCATCTTAGTATCTGTTAGAAAGAAAAAGGGTGGGTATTTTTACAGTTTCCTCAGAGACTGTTGGGAGGAGGAGTGTTGGTGCAAAGAGAGGAAGGTAGAGGAAAGGGATCTTGAATGAGACTTTGAAACTTACCAGGAAGTGTGTTTTGTGGCAGTCAACACAGTTCATTTGTCTTTCTGTCCTTGTTTTCAGAATTTTCCCCAGAGAATACCTCCTTCAACAGATCCACCTGTATTCCCTCGCTGACCTGCAGCAGGTAAGCACTCAGAAGGGCCATTTCATTGCTCTTTTCTCATTGGGAAAGTGTCTTTGTTGATTATGGTATAGGTACTGAATTCTGCCATCATTGGGGTAGTTTCTTCATAAGCCCTGATAATCAGTTTCTACTCAGAATGAGAAAAAAAAATTTACTATAAAAAAATATTACAGGACAATAAGAAATGCTGGCAAGGATACGTAGAGACCGGAGCTCTCATACATTGTTGGTGGGAATGTGAACTGGTTGGTACAGCCACTTTGGGAGACAGTTTGGTGGTCTCTCAAAAAGTTAAACCAAGTTACAATATGAACCAGCAGTTAGTTCCACTCCTAGAATATACCCAAGAGAATTGAAAACTTATGTCCATGTAAAACTTGTATACCAATGTTCAGAGCAGCATTATTCATAATACCAAAGGATAGAAGTAACCCAATGTTCATCAGCTGGTGAGCAGATAAACAAAATGCTATATATCCACACAATGGAATATTATTTGGCCATGAAAAGGAGCAACATACATGCTACAACATAGGTGAATCTTGAAAACATCATGCTGAAAAGAGTGAGACAGAAAAGTATATGTATGATTCTGTTTAAAAGAAATGTCCAAAATAGGCAAATCCACAGACAGAAAGTGGACAGATGAGTGGTTATCAGCACCTGGGGAGAGCAAGGGAATGACTGGTGATGGCCTGGGGGTTTCCTTTGAGGCTGACCAAGGTGTTCTGGAATGATAACGGTGATGGTTGTACAACTTTGTGAATGTACTAAAACCCACTTTGGAAGAGTGAAGTTTATGGTATGTGAATTATATCTCAATAAAAAATTATGCAAAGAAAGAATATCTGAAAGGCAATGACTGTATGAAACTCTTTGACTTGTGCTTAAGTCACTTAAGGGAGGACCTTAAAGTTTAATAAAACATAAGAAATCATATAAGAGTCAAAATCATCTTTTAAAACTTTTATTAGTGCTCGTCCTTTTAATGATTGACCAGGTTAGCAACCAAGATGAAAACCAATATTTTTTGTGTTCAACCTAAAGTCCTGAATATGTTAAGCTTTGGTTAATCATTTAAATCAACAACTCACTGCCTAAGAAGCTTTTAGACGCTAAAAGCTTTCCATATATCTATCTATTCTTTCAAGAGTCAATTAAAAAGATAATTGTGACAACTTCCTAAGCATCTCAAATTGTTCTGATTCTGTTCTTTTGTTTATCATCGTTGTCCTCTGCTGGTTTCGCCCACAGAAATAAGGTCCGCTTAAAAACTGTTCAGATCCTTCAGTCATTTTACAAGACTTTAAAGTGTTTTGTTTTGTTTTTTTAACTTCAAACTTTGGTGTTTTCTTTGTACAGTCTGAGGGAGGAAAGTTATTTTAAATGGTAGTAGTAGTTTTAGAGCATTTAGTTGGAACGATCTGAGAGAATATGGAGTGTTTTAATTTCCATGTGTACATCAAGTTTAACCTATTTGCACATATCAGCTTGTTCTATTCTTCAGTCCTGTATACCCTTTACTACCTAATCGAGCGGCAATGATCTGCTGGCTGGGGTGGGAAAAGGTATATTACAATTGCCCAGTGGTGTTCAAGGAGAAGTTGATTAAAATATCTATTACACACTTATCTATTTTCTAGAACTTCACTTGATCATAATATCTGAGAACCCATTTGAGAAGTATGTTTAAAGGCATGGACATAGTCTTGTAAGGGTGGTTTAAAATAGAATGGGTGGGTTCCAAAGTGAGTAGTTTTTGAGGAAGCCTTTTTTTTTTTAAAGCTTATTTTGAGAAAGAGAGAGAGAGAGAGTGCATGCCCATGCAGGCAGGGAAGGGGCAGAAAGAGAGGGAGAGAGAATCCCAAGCAAGCCCCACTCTCAGTGCAGAGCCTGATGTGGGGCTCGATCTCAAGACCTAAGCTGAAATCAAGAGTCGGAGGCTTAGCTGACTGAGCCACCCAGGCACCCCTGAGGAAGCCTTTCAAAAATGGTTACCAGATGAAGAGAAGAAATCAGAGCAATTCCATATTCATTTTGGGGTATCAGAGTAGTGTATCCATTTGGCACGATAAAGCCTGCTGTTTAAAGCTTCCCTATGCCTTGCAGACTCCCCCCGCACCGCCCCCTTGTATAATCAAACCACATATGCCACACAGCTCACTTAAGTCAGTGACAGCAGTATTCCTGGTGGGCTGGACCATTAGCCCCTGGAGCCCCATAAGCAGCTTAATCAGTTTTCAGCCTCAGTAGTAAAGCGATAGAGGCAATCAGCAGCTCATCAAACTCCCCGGGTTGGGGGGATGGCTAGAGCTCTGTGCATCCATTTAATACACAACAGCTCACTCTAACCTGGTTCTTTGTGCCTGGTTTTAAGATCCTCAGACTTATCATATTTAGAGGAAGTTTAATTCAATTACTTTTTCTGCCTGAGGTGGTTTAAATTGAATTTAGCTTTTGATCTGTCCGCATCTAGGCTATCAGTACCGAAGGGCACCTCCACCCCATTTTCTCTTAGTTTCTCAGTTTCAGGCATGTTTTCTGAATCCGGACTGTTCTTGCAAATACGTAAGAGAAGGGAGCACAAGAGGAGAAAAAAATGCACTATTGGTCTGTGACAGAGTGTGAGTGACAGCAGGCAGTCCAGCCTAACTGAGGGAGCTGCCGGCCCTGTGCTGTCCTGTCCCCTTCTGTCCTGTGTGTGGCTGCACGGTCATCCCGTTTCATGTCAGCTTTAGGAGTTTTAAAGTTATTTCCCCCCCCCATTTCATTTCCCTCTGCACTCCTAAAATAAAGGTTTCTATAAAAGCAGATCTAGCACATCAAATAACTACAGAAAAATGAACTTCAGTTTATAAATTTTGCAGGGGGTAGAAGGTACGCTACAGGAAGTAACTGAAGAGTTAGACACCTTGAATGACAAGAACATAAATATCCTTCCCAAAGGCATAGACTGCTCTCCACAGATTGCTCCTCAGTGAATTCGATTTTTCCCCTTAGCATTTATTTAAAAAACAAAATGTGAACATCAACCAAAAATCAAACAAGGTAAGAATTTGGTGATGGTGTGGACATCACCAAAAATCAAACAAGGTAAGAATTTAAGAAACATGGTAAAGGGGGACTTAGGATTTAAGCGTCTATAATCTTAAAATAACAAGTACACAAAACACTAGTAATACCTAAGATAAAGGTGCTGGAAGAATTCTGGTATCAAAAAATTTGCTTCCTTCTCATATCTCTGTTTTCATTTATATAAGTAACAATCCCAAAGTTGAGGAGACAGACTCAGTTCAACAACGTGGCTGGAGATTTCAAGCTACCTGAATGCTTCTGATGTTACATTCAAGACCAATTGCTCCCCGCTTCTCATTTTCTAAACTTAGTGGCCTCCTTTACACACATTCTTCTTTACATCTGTACGCTTGGGTGTGAGGAGACGAACCGCACAGACCGACCCTGCTTAGCGGAAGAGGCTCCCTGCACTTGTTCTGGGAGCTGTAGTTGCCTGCTTGCTGGCCAATGAGTGCCAATTATCAGCAAAGGTTATAGCTCATGCTGGTACCGAGTCCCCAGTTGTCTGTTTATTTCACCAGTGATTAAGTTGCTCACTGGGTTTTACTAGCACCTCATAAAGGTAGTAGTTGAACAACACAGTCATTACGTGACTATAATCAGTTGGCAGCATTATAACATGCAACACAGAAGATGGGACCAAGTACTCCTCCTGCCTTGTAGCAGGTCCAAGGACAGCAAAAGACAGGGGCGGAGGCTCTCCAAATCCTAGGAACTCAGAGGGGCACTGACTGGAGCCCATCATTCCTTAAGTCTAGAATTTCAGGTGAATCTCTCTCCAGGATAGTAGATACTGTTGGAGAAACTTACTCGATCCATGTTCTTTGAATATAAGTCTAATATAATATATTGTTGATTTTTTTTTAATGTTTATTTTGAGAGAGGGGGAGGGAGAGCAGGTATGCATGCATGTGACCGGTGGAGGAGGAGAGAGAGTGAGAGAGAGGGAGACAGAGAATCTCAAGCAACCTCCACACTGTCAGCACAGAGCCCAACATGGGGCTTGATCCCAGCAACCATGAGATCATGACCTGAGCTGAAGTCAAGAGTCAGATGCTTCACTGACTGATCCAAATAGAATCATAAGCAGAAGCTTTCTTTCAGGAGGTGTGATTGCAGTGTTTGCTTTGTTTTTTAAATGACAGAGCAGTTCCTTATAAAGGATTTGGCAGACAAGGACTAAGCATATATCAATGAATGAACAAGTACTGAGGCATGTTTTGAATGGGGGAAACTGAGGCACTGCTTTTTAAAAGCTTTCTCCTGCTTTGATACTTCAAGAGGGGGAAGTAGAAAATAATTTGTGTCTTGTTATTTTCTGCCTGTCCAGCATTTTCACAAATCCATGGAAAGGCTAAATTAAGATAGGGTAGGGATATGATAAAAAGATAAGCCCCAAGGAATCAGCAGGAACAATACCATAACTCTCAATGCATTAGCTTTCTGCAGTAGCTCTCCCCTTTCCCTGTAAAGTACGAGACAGACCGTCTTCTTACTTACATTGCTGATAGGAAAATTCCACATTTTACCAATAGAATACATTAGTATATGTAAGTTAACATTCAAGAGATTATTGTTGCTCTTAAGGAACAAATCAGAACCCTGGTTTAATAGCTCATTCCCCAGACTGTGTAAGTGATAGGAGAATTCTTCTCAAGTTCCTTCTGTTTGCCGAAAGGAAAGGTCAGATTTAACTTCTAAATTTTAGCTACCTGTGCTCTTGTGACAAAACCTAAAAATGTATATTAATGACTAACTCTTCTGGTGTTACTCACCTTTGGGGCATATGTAAGCTAAGCATTGAATGATTCTATTTGTACATGATTCATGAGAAAGGATACTGGAGGATCCCATGGGTGAGGCAGTTGGTTAAAGCAGCCCCTCCCATCGACTCCCTCCACTGCCTACCACCTACCCCCCAACAC